AGGTCAGCCCTGCAACACAGGAGCTTGTGACAGCCCTCACACCAGCAGGCTGTCCGAAGATCCTGCTGCATGAGTGAACAGCTGTCAGTGGGAATCCTCTGTGTTAGGGATGCTTTCTGCCCAGAGGAAGAGGTTTTAATGCCTTAAACTGGGACAGTATGTGGAAAGACGCACGTGCTAGTTTTGGTGACAATGCCAGGACTCTTAGGAGAGCAATTGCTAACAGGACAGGCAACTGTGCATTGTGCATGCCGTGGGGGGCAGTGATGGGGAGCAGGGCTCCCCGGTGTCTGAGCTGGCTGATACCCTCTTGGTGCAGGTGGTAATGACCTGCTCAGGGTCACCTGGTATTGAAGGAGCGTGGGGTTCGTCACAGCGAGGAACAAACCACTGTGCTTCTGGGCTTGGGGACCTGCAGGGCTTCCCTGTGGGACACCCTGGGAGGCCAGAGATCTCCACAGGGCATGGTGGAGCTATGGCGTGGCCATAGTCGTCATTTCTAGGGTTGAGGTGCTCATGGACTTGTTGGGGCCCACACACTTAGAATCAGTGACAGCAAGGAGACTGCTTACAATTTGTGTCTGTTGCCATGGTCCTAAAGAGAGTTAATTCTTTTCTTTTGCCGTCCTTTTCCTTCCTTCTTCTACCTTCCCTTCCTTCCCCTCCTGCCTTCTCTCTCCCTTACTGTCTGCTCTTTCGTGGCCAGGCTCACACAGCCATCTGCCCGCCTGTGACTACCCACCTTCCACCATCTTTGCCGAGCACTTCCGCTCCCGCAGTTCACCAAGCCCTTGTTTATCTCCGCGCATGCGCAGAGCGGTTCCCACCACTGCTTGGAAGGAGCTGCTACCCGACCTTGGACCTCAAGCCCAAGGGCTTCCTGCCCCCTTCCTCTGGCCCTGGTCTGCAAGCTGGACCGTTCACCTTCCCCTGCGTCTCGGCTCTCCTCTCTGGACTGTCCACAGTGCTTTCCAAATGCTGGTGGGAGTTTGTATATAAGATTTCTATTTTTAATCTAAACTTCATTATTTCAGTGGTATTCATTTTCAAAAAAAGCATTATCTTGACTCAGACCAGAATGAGTCCATTATCAGACGTGTCCACTTTTCAGTAAAACATGGGAGTAGTTTGTTTTGCGTGCCTGTAAGTGTATTTAGATAACATACCAGGCCTACCAGCAGCTACTATTTTATTGCGGGCATGCAATTCTCGGCAGAATTGCCACTGCTTTGACCAGCGCTGGCACAAGCTGGCCTGGCTGCAGGGCCTTCAGGCACAGTGCTTTGCTAGAGGGGAGTTACCAGGGTCGGATCACAGGAGAGAAAGGAAACTGGCGGGGGGGAACTCTCCGGCCAAGCTGAGGGCAATCTAGGTTCATTTGTAGAACAGCTCAAATGGCCCCTTTTCTACATGAGAGTCTTGTTTGCTCTTGAATTTGAAGCTGGCCAGCTCTGCAGGTCCCAGAAGTCCCTCTTTGACTTGCATTCTACTTGGAAAGGACGGGCCAAAACACAACCCAAACCAGGCAGGTGACTAAGGACTCAGAGCCTCGAGTACAGATGCCTCAGAGAGCCACGAAGCCCAGATTCTCACGCTTTAAACACGGGCGCATGAGAAGACGCTGAGTGCAGACCCGACCTGCCACACGCCAGCGACTTCCTGGCCAGGCGCCATGTGGCCCAGACCCAGCCTGAGCAGTTCGGTGCTAGCAGTGATTCTCATGCTCGGCCAGGCCCTGAGCCACTCGGAAAGTGAGCAGCAGTCAGGGCCACAGGCAGGGCCACAGACCTGTAGCTCAGACTTGCTTGAAGGTGGACCCCCTGAGGTCACCACTTGCAAAACTCCCCAAGTGATCCCCAGACAGCCTATCCACTTGGTGTTCAGGCCCACCTCCCTGAACGTATCCAGGTTGACAGTGAAGGATTCAGATGTGCTTCCCCCCCACTGGCAGCCTGGGTACCACTGGGAGACACCTCCCACATGCGGATGCCTGGGCCACGCAGACCTGCACCACAGAGCCTCTGTGGCCTGGGCTGACTGTCCTCAGCCACAGATTCATATGCAACACGATCAGTGCCATAAGAGGGCCACATAAAGGGAGCCAATCAGGAAGATGCAGGAAGGAGTGTAAAGAATAGAGAACCCACTCACTTGCTCATCAGACTGGGCCTCTCCAGCTCTCGGCTGCCCAGGATCATGGAGTGGGACGTGGGAGGAGCTGGGGGCATTTTACGTTGAGTCGCAAACGTTGACCTTGTTGGAAAGTTGAATTCAGCGCTCTGCACAGCCTGAGCAGCTGGACCCTTCATTTCCCAGCAGGCACCAGCCTGTCCGCCCTGAAGAAACCCTGAGGGGTAGGGGTGGGGGCTCACCTGCCCCAGCTAAACACGCAGCAGCTGACCGGGAAGCGAGCGCCCCCTGCTGGTGATGATCTCTGGTCGAAGCTGGTGGGGACACCCTTGTTGCTTTGCTGATGTGGCCTCCAGGGGACAGCACAGACCGTGGTTCTTCAGAGTGCCGAAGACCTTTCCAGTCAGGTTGAAAAAGACTCACTGACTTGCGAAATGCGTTCCTGAGCTACATCAGCATCACCATGACACAGGACTTACAATCACACGAAGCTGTGACGATGTGGAACCCAGTGTGCAAACAGAAAATGATGACAGAACTATCTCACCCATGACATTAAAGTGTGACTGTCTTAGGGGGAAGCACAGGCAAGACTTGCCGGTGAATCTTGCTCCCAGGTGGAGGAGCGTTGGCAGCACGGGGATCGCTGCTCTCTGCTCTTGTTCACCCTTGAGGCCACGGAAGGCCCCTGTGAATTCTGGCAACGCGGGAGCGCTGAGGAACCAGCTAGGAGGAGGGTAGGGCGGCAAGGCGGGGACCAGAGCCGCAGTTCACCTCTCTGAGTCTAAGCCCCCGGGAAGCCGGGGATGATCAGGACGTGTTTGGGGGGTCTGTCGCACTCTCTGACGAACATGAATGACTTGTGAACTTAATCCTCACAGCGGAAAAGCGAATACATTCTAATTTAGTTAGAGCTGTTGAAACTACAAACGCTTGGGACTCAAACAAGCACAGAATCTCAGTGTAAGAATGGGCACATCCTCTCTCTTGCTGAGGACAGTCACCGCGACCTCAGCTTGTCCGTGGCATGTCAACCTTCCTCAACAGGGCTGAGACAAAGGTCCCTGCGTCCCAGAGGTGGGGAGCAGGGCCAGATCCTGGGTGGTGGCCTGACGAGTCGGAGCAGTGGGCCCAGGGAGCTTGTGGGATGGCCACGGAAAGGCTGCCCACACAGGTAGCTTTGCTTCACCTTCATATTGGGTACATTAAGTACAAGCGCAGATCAAGACTCTGCTCACCATTGAAGAGTGAGTCCTATAGTCAAAGCCACATTGCCTTGAGTCCGCTCGAGACCTGCCCCTCACCGGCACCGTGTGTGTTCTGGCTTTCCGCCAAAGTCAAAATGACAGTGAAGGGGAGATCTTTGGGGTGGATTCAGGACCACAAGGGAGCTACAGCCGCTCACTGAAGACATTTAAGAAAGAGGACTCCAGAGAGGCTGCAGGATGTGGCAGAAAACAGTGAGACGAAGTGGTGCACCCTTCTCTCGCCATGGAAGCGGCCCGTCCCACCTCCTGCTTGAGGCCCAGCGGCTCTCGGGCTACAGAAAAGCACCAGGCACAAGGGCTGTCTTCACCTGCACATGGACAACTGCAAAAACCCTTCCCACTCCCTTTCTGAAGACGCACCAGCCCCTTTGCTGGAGAAGCAGAGCTACCTGGAAACGCAAAAGCTTTCGGGCCAACTGCTCAGAAACTCCATCTTTAAATGCAGTCAACTGAGGCAATTTGTCTCAGGAAGAAAGTCAATTTTTAAAAAATATTTACAGCTCCCCCATTTAAACTAAGGACTATATTTAAGTAAGCACAATTGAAGGGTGTTGTCCCAGAGAAGCTACTTAGCGGGTCTCCTCTGACAGCTGCGTGTGTGCTGTCTCTAAGTGTGTGCTTGGCTGAAAGACTGAGAACACAGCTATGCTTAAGAGGTGGTTTTTAGAGAGGCACGGGTTTTCCAAGGAGTTTGAAACCTTCCAGACACATAAAACTATACAAGAACCTTTGCAGATGTTCACTGGCCTTAGGCGTGACCAGGAGGTGCGGTCGTAGTCCCCCTGCACTCTCTATGACCTTCCACCTGGGTGCTTCCTGCTGACACCACACACCCTGCGGTGCTCTAGTTTTTGGCCTTGAGAAGGGTTCAGGATGCCTCTGACGCTTCTGACACCTTAACCCCAAGTGGGCCTCCGGTGTTTTCTCACCTCGTCCTTACTGTCCTGGTCTTAGTTGCTTCCAAATACAACCTCAAGTATGGTAAAAAGTTACCGATGCAACAACAAAGTAACAGTCACCGCAGCCACCGCCACCACCACAGCAGCAATAGCAGCAACAGCAACAACAGCAACCAAATGCTCTCAACTTCCCTCTGAGATAAATAAATCCCTTGGTGTGTGGGAAGTGGGTCTGAGGAGGCCCCTGGAGAAGGTGCCTGGAGGCCCCCCCATGCTCAGCCAGAGCAGGGAGCTGGGTAAAGTTTGTGGCTTTGCAGCTGGAGGCAGCTGGTTTCCAAATAAATGTGTCACTTCCCCCTGGTAGATGAACCCAGACAGCTGGTCTGTCCTTCCTTCCTCTCAGAGCCTCTGTCCCTGGAGCTGCTCTTTCTGCAGCATAGCCTGTCAGCTCCAGAGTGTAGAGCTCTGGATTCCAAGCCCTAGAACTCATGGCGGTCTGCATGGAGTCCCCAGACCCCAGGCTCTGGCATGCATAAATCTAGAGTGTCAGAGTTTCCTGGGGATGAGCGCTGGGACAGGATGGGGTGTGGGGGTGACTGGGATGCTCAGGGAGACAGTCCCAAGTCCCTCTGCATCCCCTGACCCCAGCTTGTCCCCTTACATCAAGCCTGTACTTCTTGCCCTGAACCTCTACCAACTTGCATGGCCATGACCCTTCCAGATCTTCCTGCATCTGCTTGGAGCCTAGGCTGCTCCTGGGCTCCTCTGGGCTGCTCACCTCCAGCCAAGCTCAGCCCAAGCTGCAGGACCAAGAGGCTGCCCTCACCCAGGAGGCTGCCCTCATTCTGGTCTTACTATGTCTGATCTCCTTCTCCCAAATACTCATCTTCCCCTGTCCCCCACTGGCTACAAAATGAGACTTTGGCCCGGCCACGCTGGCAGGAGGCTCCCTGCACTGCCATGACACCGTCAGGGCAATGCTGACATTGCCAATGCTGTCGGGGCAATGTTCTACCCCACCCAGCCTCGTCCTTCTTCTTTGGGGATAGCTACCTGTTTTCTCACAACCAAGCTTTGCCTGTGCTGTCGGCAGCCTGAGGCCCGGCTTCGCCTCCTCCACGGACAGATGGCCCAAATCCTCCCTCCCTGTGTGGTGCCCCCATCCCTGCCAGGATGCAGGACACTCGCCTGGCCCCGCAAGTCAGTGGAACCTGCTGTCCCTACCTTGGAGGGAAATCACAGCTGGGACTCGCTGTTTCTCAGCAACTCACACCCTATCTTCCCTCCTAGGGTGAAACAAAGGCTTGCGTGAAACACATTTACACCTGCAGGCTGCTCTGGACAAGGGAAGAAGCTGCGCGGTGTTTCTCAGGGCACTTAGTTATTTCTATTTAGACAGCTGAACCTCACAACCAGCAATTCTCTGAGGACATTTTGATAGTGAACTTTTGCACTAAAGAAAGAGCTTATGAGTAACTCGGTGTAAGCAGGGGGAATCAGGGGCCCAACTTCATCAATGGATTTTTGACACAGCTTTCTAGAGTCAATGGTCTTATCAGCTCCTGTAGACTCAAGCAGAGGGATGGGTCTTAGCTCCTCTGTGACAGTAGACTCCTGTCCCCAAAGTCACCCCCACTGGCAGCTGTGCAGAGACACTGAGTGACAGCCACACGGCAGGCCTGCTCACAAGCCAGTGGAGACCTCCTGCTCCCCGGTGGACCGGGTATAAAAGGAGCTGCTGCGTTCTGAGGCATCTCGCTGGAAGATGGCGCACTGTTTGCACAAACACTTGGCCACGTGCTTTCTGAAGAACGCCGAGAGATACCGGCGGAACTTCTCGCCAACGAAGGCGTAGATGATAGGGTTCACGCAGCAATGTGTCATCCCCAAAGTCTCGGTCACCTGGCTGGCTTGGTCCAGCTGGTTAGAGCTGCTGCAGTTGTTGAGGGCCACAAGATTTGAGAAGGTGTTCAGGAGGATCACGATGTTGTGGGGTGCCCAGAAGAGGAAGTAGCCGACCATGATGGCGAAGATGAGCCTCACCGCCTTGTGCCGCCTCTTCTCATTCCGGCACCGCATCAAGGTCCGCAGGATGCCCGAGTAACAGACGACCATGACCAGCAGCGGCAGCACCAGCCCCAAGAGCACCCTCTTCAGTGCCTGGAATTTCCTCCAGAAATGATATTGGTGGGGAGGGAAATAAGGGCTGCAAGTGTAACGCAAAGTTTCTCTTTGAGATTTTATGAAGATGATTCCTGGGAGAGAAGCAAACAGAGCCACCAGCCAGGTGACCCCGCTGGTCACCACACCGAAGGTAACCGTCCTGGCTTTCAGAGCAAACACAGCATGGACGATGGCCAGGTACCTGTCGATGGTCAGGAGGATGATGAAGAGGACCCCTCCGAAATAGCCGATGTGGTAGAGCCCCGTGAGCAGCTTGCACACCGCGCCTCCAAAGACCCAGCTGTAGGCTGCGCTGTAGTGAGCCCAGAAGGGGAGCGTGAGGAGGAGGAGCATGTCGGAGACGGCCAGGTTGAGCAGGTAGATGTCTGTCATGCTCTTCAGGCGCTTGCAGGTGACCAGGATGAGGATGACCAGGATGTTGCCCACGGAGCCGAAGACGACCACCAGCGCATAGAGCGGGGGCAGCAGCTGCCCTGCCACTTCCTTCACGCTGGTTTTCTGGCAGGGTTCTGCCACTTCATAGTCAAAGTCAGTGGTAGAGCTCGTCGTTGTCGTCGTTGTGTCGTTCATCCTGCTCCACTCTGTGGATAAAGGCAAAGTGATGTTTGGGGTGCTCTGCATATGGAGTCAGCGGTCTGCCACCAGCACGGAGTGCTTTATACCTGAGCCTGAGCAGGTCTTTAATTTGACGTGCAGGTTTCTAGACGTAATGGAGGTCCCCCTGTGGTCTCAGAAATGAACTTGTATAGTGAGAGGCTTTCTGCCAGCTTCCCAGATCCCCAGCTGGAGCTATAGGTGGGGAAGGCACCTCAACACTTGTTTGCTGTAGCTGGGAGGGGTGGAAGGAGCTACCACAACCACTCTGAGAAACTGAGGCAGGCCCGGTGCCACTCTCGGCCTTTCGGTCCACATCAGAGGCCTTGATGCTGAAGCCAGTGCCACGAGTGAGTCCGCACGAGCAGAAGCCGCGTGAGGCTCTGGACGCCAGCCGCTACTCCAGTTTCTAGCCTGTCCATCCCCCACACCTTCAAGGTGACTTTACTGCCATCTGCTGTTTTCCAGCCACGATCCCCAGAGCGCAGGGCAAAGGAGAGGAGGAGTAGCCCGCCCAAAGCCACACCTCGAGGATGCAACAGGAAATCAGACAACCCTCACCTCCCATGCTGCCTGGGCTAAGGCGCCCTGTGAGAGAACCCGAGCGCAGAGCCATCAGCCCAGTGCCTTGGCCCTGTAGGAAGGCAACAGGCTCAGGCCCAGTCTCCAGGGAAGCTCACAGCTGGAGCCAACACCCTGCGCCACACCCAGGCGGCCACCCCACACCGTCTCTGAGGTTTGGGCTTCAGCGGCCACAGTGAAGAGCAAAGCTGTCTTCCATCACCACTGGCGGATGTCCCACGTCCTGGATGGGACATTCACATCTAGCCAGCTTGTCCCTTCCATGTAAGCCCTGCTGATTCCACTGGGAGTTTTTTCTCCTAACTTCTTCTACATTTCTAGCCCCCTGGAGCTCAGATTAGGCGGCCGGGAGAGGCACCCAGAACAATCTCACCTTTACATTCTGAGCCAGAAAAAAAAAAAAAAAAAAGAATCCTACATGAAAAATACTGTCCAGCTGTTCTACTACAGGGAGACATTATTTGACAGCTGTAGTTCGATATTAATTTGGACACTTTAGACAGAGACACAGGCAGAGGCGCCCTGGGCGAGCTTTCAGTTCTCCTGAGCTGGAGATGATCTTTGTGAGATTTTGGTCAAGCTGCTGTCCCTGGGAATGTCCTCTTAAGAGGTTGAGGGGAATCTGTTTTAAAAAACCATATTGTCCCCTGTGAGGTCAAAAAGGTTTTGTATCTCTGATGGTATCAGGCTCTGAAGCTCAGTTCTAAATCCTGTTTCTTTTTCTTATCTTAAAGATTGTATTCTAAGATAGCCCCGTGAGCACCTGGTTTGGCCAGAAGTCTTCTCTGGGTTTCCTGTGAAAGCATTTGCTCATCCCAGAAGCTGTACTGACGGGCAGCCCCAGAGCCTGCAGCGACTTACCAGGCAGCGTTTCGTTCCCCCGGGGGTGCAGCTGTCTGAGCTCTTCTGCCCACTCAGCGGTGTGATTCAAACATATAGACAGGGTAAAGTAGGAAACACACAGTTTCTTTTGCAGAGGGTGGAGTTTAATGAATAAGTGCATTGTGGGGGGAAGAAAAGCAGAGAACAATTCTCCTTCTTCTCCTTCTCTTCCTCCTTTTCTTCCTCCTCCTTTTTTTTTTTTTTTTTAAGTTGTGTTTAAAGTCAGCTAGAAGACGGAGCCCTCGGCTGAAAGTTTATTCATGGGTTTTTCTTCTTAGATGATTTCACTTTTGTTTTCCGTGGGCCAGCTGTGTCATGTGTGTTGAAAACTGAAAAGAATGAGGGGAAACTAGAGTTAGAAGAATGCTCGCGTCTGTTTAGTCAAAAGCCCACCTTTGAATAAAAGAGGTAAATGGTTTGCACAAGACCGTAGGGCTTACTGGTGGGGAGGCAAAGAGGGTGGGTGTTTGGTTAGCCATACCTAACTAAAGTGGCTTTCAATTCAGAGGGGAACTCTATTCTTAGCATGGAACTTGTGCCCCTCTATCCATCCCCCACGACGCTCACACGCTTACCCCAGCCCTATTTTTATGTGTGAATTAAAGCAACTGGTTGTTTACGAGGTCTGGCTGCTGGCTCATTGTGAGTGAAACACGCTTCCCATTTTCTTGCGCATCAGGCTTGGTGGGGCACAGTGTGGCGTATTTTTGCTCTTGTCATTGACCTGTGTCTCCCTTCAAGCCAGCCAGCTTTTGTGAGCACTCAGCTGTCCCACATATAGGAAACAGCATCCCTCGCTTCCAGTATATGATTTACCTGGAGCTGTGGGAGATTTTCCACAGGAAGTAGACAACAGCTGACAGAAGGACCGTCAGCTAAAGAATGAGGAGCTTTGGCCCGTGACTGACAGGGGGCAACGGAGAGGTCAAAGAGCAAAATGGAACTTGGAGGTGGCCCAGCACCTGGACACACTGTGGCCTCTGTGGTGAGACCGTCAAGCCCGAGGCCACCTCTGCCTCAGCTTCCTGGCTGTGGGGTTGTTGGGAGGATCAGAGAATAAGAGGCTGTTGCTACCCGTGAACCTGTCTGTCACTCCTTGTGGGCTCTGGGCAACAACGGAGAGTAGCACTCATGGTCTGTGTGGAGCTCCTGCTCTGGTCCTCACATGAGTGTGCCTTGCTTCCCCCAGGCCCCAGAAAGGGAAGCCTGAGCGCTGGAGCTCTTCGCCTTCTGAGTCACTAGCATCCTGGGTGAGGCTCTGGTCTCTTGGGCTTGGGCTTCTCAGCGGTAATCAGCCAGGCCTGGGCTCAGTAACAGCCAGAGGTCCCCGTGGTGGCCACAGGGTCCACGCACAGTAGATGCACGGCTCCTACCCGGAGATTTGTTGGAGAAAGAATTTACCTCAGAAGCAAAATTTTAATTTTTTTTTTCCAGATACCTTTCAGTGAACTGGAAATGTGAAGCCGCTGGCTGGTGCTCAGAGAAGAGAGAAGTGGCTGCTCTGAAAGAGCCCAAGAGATGGAATGCCTTGGTGGAGCACAGAGGTCCTGAGCAGGCGGTGACTCAACAGGAAGACAGCAGCTCTTCCCGCAGGAGCAGCACCCAAGGCCATGAGGAGAGTGGGGTCAAGCCACTGGTTTATTAGTCACTACTTTACAGAACTCCTGTAACAAAGTGCCAGTCTCTCACAGCCTTATCTGTGAAATGGGGATTAAGAAAACTCAAATGTACCTCGTTTTTATACTTTTCTGCTGGATGGTTAAGACCAAGATAAAGCAAGACCTATATAACAAGAAATGTAACTTTTGTATCTGACAAGGTCAGTCAAATCCCCTCAGGATTTACCTTGAAACCCTGTATCACAGTTTGTAGATCCTTTGTCAGTTTCAGCCATGTGGATGAGTCACAGCCATTGCTTGACCAATTTGCTCTCTGTGAAAGCCTGAGAGAATGTTTTCTCTCCATGTGATTCTCCTCAGGCACACTCTACATCATCGATCACTTTCCTCTATGGCCCCATAATCAGTAAATTTGGGACACCTTGATCAGTAAATTTGGGACACCACTAAGTTACAGGATGTTACAGTACAGGTTCTCTTATGTCCTGAGTCCTCACTGACCTTGAAGGACGGGGGCCAAAATGTTTGCTGTCCTTGCAGCCCTTCTTTGTCTCGATTTTTGGTCTTCAAACTTAACAGAAGAGAAGCTTAATGATATTATTACCTTATAACATAGGCAGTTGAGCTTAACCTCACTATCTGTCTGAATATCAACCATCTTAGATATAACATGGAACAAGTATTTTCCATCAAGTATTGACATGTTAAACTTTAAATCCCTATAGAATGTGAAGAAAAAATAGAAAAATAAAAAAGGAATAAACAATTACATATTTTTACACAGAAATTTAGAAGCCTAACCATATACAGCAATGTAGCAGGACAATGCTATGACTTTTTTTGTCTCTTGTTTTCATTGATTACCACGAGGTGTACAAAGTAAAGCCATATTAATATGCTGAGCTGTAAGAGGCTCAAGTCAACAACTTTTGACATTTCCAGTCCTGCAGATAACCCAGTACTATTATGAATTACTGGACTATATTGGATTATTTTGCTGAATTCATGCACCTACAATATTCAAATGGCAAGGGAATACCCATCTCTGACAAAACTAAGCAAAAAAGGGGGATACAAATGAAGGACCATTTTGTATCTGTATATACAAAATAGGATAGAGATACAGATACTTTCTCTTAAGTCAATGAGAAGAAAGATTTGTACTAATAGTGTTTGGACAGGATATCATGTCTGTATCTTGTACTATAAATAATCACTATGAAGACAATAATATGTAATATATTAGTTATTGAGGGTAGAAGCCAATTCTACAGGTAGGCGCTTTTTTTTAAATGTATTGGTACAGGGTCTCACTATGAAGCTTGAACTGCAGTGATCGGCCTATTTTCAGCCTTGTTTGATTTTTATTTTTATTTTTTGGTGGAACCGGGAATGAACTCAGGCCCTTGCACTTGCCAGGGAAGCGCTTATTCCACTGAGCCATCTCCCCGGCCCCTAATATATTAGTTATTGAAACTGTCCTACTAATCAATTTTGAAACTCTCATTGCTATTTGTTTTTTGATAAAATGAAAAAAAAAAAAAAGAAATCTCAAATGTGAACCCACCCTGGGCTTCTACAGTCAAACCATTAATCTAACAGGAGCCTTCTGTCCTGGCCCCGGGGACACCTTTAAACCAAGAACTACCTCGGGGGCTTTAGGGAAACTTCACAACCTGGCCACACATAAACCTATATAAAACTTGACAGAAAACACACCTTTGTTTCTTTCGAGGCTCGCACCTTGTGTGTGGATCACATCCGAGCGGGAATGCAAAGGTGCTGCAGAGTGAGAGACAGAATCCTGTGTGTGGCCATGGGTGGTTCTTTTTTTTTTTTTTTTTTTTTTGTATTTAGGACAGGGTCTACAGGGTCTCACTACATAGATCGAACTCGTAGTGATTCTCCTGTTTTCAGCCTCCCAAGAGCTAGAATTACAGGCGTGTGACACCACA